TTTTGTGCTTAATGTGCGTGAGTTTTGTGCTTAATGTGCATGAGTCGTGTGCTAAAGGTGCGTGAGTTTTAATGTGCGTGAGTGTGTACTTAATGTGAGTTGTTTTTAAAACTTAAGGTGCGTGTGTTTTTGTGATTAACATGCGTGAGGCTTGTGCTTAACATGCGTGAGACTTATACTTAACATGCGTGAGGCTTGTGCTTAACATGTGTGGGGTTGTGTTCTGAAGGTGTTTTGTTTGTGTGCTTAATGTGCGTGTATTGTGTAGTTTAAGTGCGTCAGATTAATGCTTAGCATGCATCCACTCGCACAACCGCACGAGAAGCCTCAAATGCACCTGATCCCTTCCATATATATATATATATATATATATATATATATATATATATATATATATATATATATATATATATATATATATATATATATATAATTAGATTTTGGTGCAGTTAGAGTGCTCAGGTGCGGTTTTGCAGTTTAATTTGGGCCATTCATCTCGCTTAAATCAACGTCAGAATTATCAAAAAAATTTTAAATAAAAAACGCGGTAGCAATTTTGTAATTTTTGCATCTAGGTCAAAATTAATGTGAGTGGTTCTGTGATTAATGTGCGTGAGTTTTGTATATAAGATGCGTGAGTCTTGTGCATAAGGTGCGTGAGTTTTGTGCTTAATGTGCGTGGGGTTGTGCTTAATGTGAGTAGTTGGTAAAACTTAAAGTGTGGGCTTTTGTGTTTAAGGTGCGTGAGATTTGTTCTTAATGTGAGTGGGGTTTGTGCTTAATTTGCATAGGGTTTGTGCTTAATGTGTCTGAGGTTAGTGATTAATGTCAGTAATGGTTGAAACTTAAAGTCTGTGAGTTAATACTTAAAGTGTGTGGGTTTTGTGCTTAATGTGCGCGAGATTGTGCTTAATGTTCGTGGGTTTTGTACTTAATGTGCGTGAGTATGTGCTTAATGTCAGTAGTTGTAGAAACTTAAGGTCTATGAGTTAATACTTAAATGCGTGGGTTTTGTGTTTAATGTGCGTGAGATTGTGCTTAATGTGCGTGGGTTTTGTACTTAATGGGCGTGAGTTTGTGCTTAAGATCTAACACTCAAAGGTGCGTGGCTTTCTTCCAGACACGCGTTTTTTTTTTTTTTTAATTTTCATTGATTTGAGCCGTTGATCTAGATTTGATCAACGACTCAGATCTAACCGCACGGGAAGCTATACCCGCGCATGAACCCTTCCCTATATATATATATATATATATAATATATATATATAATAATATATATATATATATATATATATATAATATATTTATATATATATATATATATATATATATGGAAAGGTTCAGGTGCGGGTATAGCTTCCCGTGGGGTTGTGCGGTTAAATCTTAGCAGTTGATCAAATTTAGATCAACGACTCAAATCAATAAAAAATAATAAAAAAAAAAAAAACGCTTGCCATAGCCAGTTTGCGAATACCAGGAAGGCGAGGAGGAGACTCATTCAACTCATCAACTCTATACTTTAAATTTGGATTTCTTCTTTTATCTTGCTTAGGAGTAGCGTAGCTTTGCTGGAGGGTTTTGCCAAAGCCCAGGGCAAGTCGGAGGCTTGGTGCACCTTAAGTGTTAGATCTTAATCACAAACTCACGCACTTTAAGTACAAAACCCACACACATTAAGCACAACCTCACGCACATTAAGTACAAAACTCACGCACTTTAAATATTAACTCACAGACTTTAAGTTTCAACAACCAAGTACAAAACTCACGCACATTAAGTACAAAACCCACGCACATTAAACACAAACATCATGCACATTAAGCACAAAACTCACGCACTTTTAAGTATTCACTCACAGACTTTAACTTTTAACAACTATTCACGTTAATCACATCCCCACGCACATTAAGCACAAACCTCACGCACATTAAGCACAAAACACACGCACATTAATCACAGATCCGCTCACCTTAATTTTGACCTATATGCAAAAATTACAAAATTGCCACCGCGTTTTTTTTTAAAACTTTGATAATCCTGGACATTGATTAAAGCGAGAAGGATGACTCAGATTAAACCGCACAACCGCACCTGAAGCCCTCACCCGCACGAGAACCTAAATATATATATATATATATATATATATATATATATATATATATATATATATATATATATATATATATGTATATGTAGGTCACTATTCAAGTGAGTTCACCCCTTCCCAAGAGTCCGTGTGGATAAATTTGATCCACTAAAAATTAGATATTAATGGTCTAGATAATCCCAAATGCAACAACTGTGCAATTTTGAAATCCAACCATTGATCAGTTGGACATTTACACAGTTGCGCATTTAGAAATATCTAGACCATTGATTATATAAATAGATTAAGTTAATCGGAGAGTACAATTAACCTTTCAAATTGAAAATTTTCAACGAAGTATGTTAAATCGGTAATAAAGTATAATTGATTCAAAATAACACAACTGTCCCAGAATTGGCTTCTTAGTGGCCTTATGTAATTATGTTGTTTATGTATGGTACGGTTGTCCTCATCCCGGTCAATACACCACCTTGCTAAATTATGTGGAAAAAAAAATCCATTTTTTTTATTGTACACATGAATTCAGGGGGCGGAGCTAGGATTGCATAATGCGGGGGGCCAACTATGGTTGAAATACTAAATCAAATACATTGATATCCAGTTAACATATTTCAAAATAATCATTACATTATAAATTTAATAAAGTTTAAAATAAATCATTTATAATTGAATCTATATTAAATTATTTTGTAATATGCTTTTCAATGCACATTGCTTTGTACGGTTGAAAGAATGAAAACATTCACGCGTGTTTTAAAAGACTATTGATTATTTCTTGAAAACTACCATCTTCATAACATAATAGCAATTGTTTTCTCAAATACATATACTACACAATTTTTACATTATTATGCATGTTAAATTAAATACAAAATTTATCACATAACCACAAATTTGCATAATTAACCAAACAAATGCACCTTGATATCCATTATTTAGAATCAAACAAAACCACTATTTAAAATAAACAATAGAATGCTTTCAAAAATAATAAAAATAAACAATAGAATATGAAACAAAAATTAACCAAACATGTAGTTATAAACAAAAAAAAAAAAAATAACTTGAAAAATATGCATAGATTTTGTTAGAAACCTTGTATTAGGATTTTGATGATACCAATGTAATGTAGAAAGTAGACCCCTAACTATTAGCTTTTTCGATCAATACTTTCGTCCTAAACGAAAGTTGCCATAACTCCCCTGTAATTCGTGTTAAGCTAGAAAACATACGAAAATGAGTTATGTCTAGTTGCTAGGGTCCCCAAGACGAAAGAAGACACAAGGCATGATAAACAGCAACGAGAATTCATCAGGAGTTGTCAACTACATCGAAAGGACAGTTTTATTAAAGACAAATCTCACCAAGCATTCTTTCTCTTCAACAACGAGAAGAATGTTTTGTCTGTCTAATTTGACAACATCCTAGGAACATAAGGACCTCAACTTGTGGGACACATTTACCAAGGAGCATTAAATGAAGATGTACCATCTCCTGGAGCTAAAGGACAAAACCCTAATGCTCTCCATACCTTCAACGGCTACATGGTACAACCTCATTAATGGAGCATTTAATGCATGAAGCTCCCCAGTCCTTATCCACTAGATAAAAGGTTCGAAAATTTCATCTCCTTCCAACGGATGAATTTTCATCACCTATATAAACCCACCTTCACCAATTAAGAAGGTGCTGGTTCTATTCACTCGATCCATACATACGCAAAAGCTCTTAAACGTTCTCAGCTCTCTCAAGCTTTTGTGAACCAGTGTTAAGGTGCTAAAACATTTGAAGAAGTTCATTGATCATCATCTTACACCTTAAAGGAAGTCTTGCCATTTGCACGAAGCAATCATCTCTCACAATTAAGACTTCATCAAGTTGGAGAAATCAGAAATCATTTTCTACCAACCTCAACTCTGAAGAAGAAGTTGATAGAGGCGGAGTAAACTCGAGGAGTTGAAAAACCTACGAAGGCTGTCCGGCTTAGTGATCAAGGAAGTCTTTGTGTAATTGTACTAACGAGTAATAGTGCAATCCTTCCATAAGTTGTGGAAGAAGAGTGGAGTAGGCAAAGTTGGCCGAACCACTATAAAAATCTCGTCTCCCTATCTATTTACTTTTGCTTTCAATTTCTGCATCATCTCATCTTTCGCATCACCACCAAAACTCTCGTTATAACCAAAAAACGTGCAAAGCAAATAATCGAATTTGACATTTCCGCTGCGCCAAAACACCGAAAGGTGGTTTTAGGGCATAACACGAAAAGAGTCTATTCACCCCCCCTCCCCCCCCCTCTAGACTCTCACTATACTCTATCGAGACAAACAAGTGGTATCAGAGCCAAATACCTTGAACGGTAAAGGCTTTGCATTTACTGCCTGGTAGATCCCCTATCAAAATTCTGAAAAACTGCATATTTTTCAGCTTTGCACGAACTTTTGCAAAATGGAAAAGGATCATGCTAACCGCTCTAAGCAGCTTGTTTTTAGTCTTGCTAAATTTGATGACTGGAAGATAAGAATGCAGGTCCTCCTCTGCTCCATACATGACGAAATGTGGGACGTCATAACAACTGGACCAATTACAGTTATGATGGCGAACACACAAGCGGCAGCTCAAGGGGCCGGTGCTGAGCAAATGATACCAAAGCCAAAAGACTCATACACCTCGGAAGAAAGGACAAGAGTAAACCTGGACAATGTAGCACGAAATATCCTCTACAACTCCCTTGACGACTCCTTGTTCCCAAGAGTCCGAAAGTGCAAGAATGCCATGGAAATATGGAAAGTTCTAATGGAACTAGGAGAAGGGGATGAACAGGAGAAAGACAACAAATTGACTGTAGCTATGAAGAAGTTTTTAAGACTTCAAAATGCTTCCAAATGAGACAATCATGGACATGGAGCTGAGGTTCACCAGACTCATGGGAGATCTGGCAGATCTCGGGAAGGAACTATCTGAAAAAGAAAAGAATCTGAAGATACTTCGTGGTCTGCCAAAATCTTGGGAAATGAAAGTCATCGCAATGAGAGACAACCGAGACATGAAAACGACGAGCACAGCAAAAATTTTCAGTGATCTTAAGGCATACGAGTTTGAGCATGAACCGAAGGATGTCGAAGAATCAGAAACCAGAAATGTAGCTCTCGTGGCCAGCCAACAGACAACATCATCTAACAGGTCAAAATCTAATTCTTGTGATTTCTTATCTGATGAACAGTATGCACTATTTGTTAGGAAAATGAAGAGGTTCATGAGGAAGAACAACTTCCAAGACTCACACCGTTCGGGCCACCGAAAGCAACACGAAAGTTCACCTCAAACCGCAAAAGCGGAAACCTCGGACTCGCAATTGCTGTGCTACAACTGTCGAAAACCAGGACACTTCAAGGCCAATTGTCCTCATCCAATAGTGAGCAAGCATCAAGACTGCAACACTACCAAACGCCCATCCAAGGAGACTGGAGAAAGATACAAAAGAAATGACAAGCCAGAATCATCAAGCTCCAGGAACGAGAGAAGAAGAAAGGCGATGGTAGTGAACGAAACCTCTGACACAGTTGAGGCCGAAAGTAGCTCCTCGAGCTCGAGTTCAGATGACGAAAGCACTGAAGAGGAAAAAGGACTACTATGCCTGTTCAGCCAAGAATCAGAAGATCTATGCTTCATGGCTGACGAAGATGAGGTAAAATCTCACTCATCCTCTTGTTATTCAGCTGAGTCCAGTTCTGTAGGGAGTCAAACCTTCAATGAATCTGTTACAGAAATGATGAGGAGGTTCAAAGTGATCAAAAGCACATATTCCAAACTTAAGGAGGAGAACTCTCGGCTCATGATTAGCTACAATGCGCTAAGGCAAGTTCGGGTTGAGAACATAAAGCTAGTCATTGCTAAGGAGCAACTTGAGAAAAATGTTCTCGCTCTGAAGGAACAGTGCACAACAAGAGAAAAGAGAGAGCAAGAACTCCTTGAAGTCTTAGATAAATTCAATAATTCGTCCAATCTAATGGACCGAATGTTAAATGAATCTATACTGCCCGGGGAAAGAATGGGAATTGGTTTTGACCCCAGCTCCTCTTCACAAGTCGAATTGAACAAATCCACGAATGCATATTCACACGAAAGCTTTCAGGCTGCATTTGTTCAAGGTCCAACCCAGGTGTCTGAGCCAATGACGAAAGTCAACAACGTTGCCATACCACAACCAACAAGCTTACCGAAAGGAAAGGCTGTACAACGAATTGTGGATCCTCGAAATGAAAAATCTTACAAAGGCAATCCTAGACAAAAATATGTCAAAAGGAATGGACCAAATGGAAATGGACAGAGTCTACACCATAAGAAAGGTCAGCCTGCTAAGAATATTCAATCAAGGAAAAGGCCGAATGTTGACCAGAGGCAATATCATCCTAAAACAACACGAGAAAATCCTGATCAAGGAAACCCGAAAAATGGACGAATCAGACAAAACGAAAGATCCTTCACAAGATCTGGTTATGGCAATGGATGGACTGGGCCATCAGAGGAAGATTGGTTTGATTACCCAGAACCTCTCTCGAGGGTTGAATTTGAGAAGATTCATCTACGTAAACAAACCAATCATCTCAAGCATTATGAAAATCCCCCTCAGGAATACTTTCGTAAAAGATATAATGCTAAAGTCTTTGCCAGCATACATTATGATTATCGCACATCTAATGGGTATAGAGGACCAAGGATGAGTCGTGGACACTCTAGGTTGATGTGGGTTCCAAAGTTGACAGCTAACCCTCAAGGACCCGAAATTCAAGGGGTACCTAAAAACATATAATCTTTGTTGCAGGAAAAACAAGTCATATGGTATGTTGATAGTGGATGCTCAAGATATATGACTGGTGATAAAACAATGCTGAGCAACTTCATAGAAGTAGATGGACCCAAAGTTATCTTTGGAGGAGAAAACAGTGGCAAAACTCGTGGAAAGGGGGATATTATCAAAAAGGGAATAACAATACAAGATGTGTCTTATGTTGAAGGACTGAAGTTCAATCTCCTAAGCACAAGTTAATTCTGTGACAAAGGATATAAAGTTGAATTTTCCAAGGACGAGTGTAAAATCGTGAACACGAAGGATGGCAAGACAGCTTTAACTGGTCAACGAAAGAAGAACATGTACGTAATATCTTTGATTTCTTCTAACGCTAACGTTTGTTTTGTGGCCAAAAGTAATGCAGATCTTAATCAAGAATGGCACAATAAACTAAGCCATCTAAACTTAAAGACAATCAGCAAGCTCGCTAAAAGAAATCTCGTGAGAGGTCTGCCCGAAGAATCATACACGAAAGATAAAATATGTGAGGCATGTCAAAAGGGAAAACAATTCAAGTCATCCTTTAAGTCGAAAGATGTGGATGCAAACTCTCGATCTCTAAGTCTTCTACATATGGATCTTTTTGGACCAGTTGATCCAGCAAGTTTGAGTGGAATAAAGTATACTCTCGTTATAGTAGATGACTACACAAGATATACTTGGGTGCTTTTCTTGTAGAAGAAGAATGAAACAGAAACAGTTCTTCTAAATCTCTTAAGACAACTTCAAACAGAAAAGGAAGTCAAAATCATTCGTATAAGATCAGACCAGGGAACTGAATTCGTTAACAAGGTTAAAAAAGAGTTTTGTGCGCAAAATGGAATCTTTCATCAACTCTCGGCAGCACGAACTCCTCAGCAAAACGGAGTGGCCGAAAGGAGAAACAGAACCTTGAAAGAAGCTGCACGAACAATGATCTCGCATTCGGGCCTACCAAAGCGATTTTGGGCCGAAGCCATAAATACAGCATGTTACACACAAAACAGATCCCTGATCAACAAATCCCATAACAAGACGCCGTATGAACTATGGAAAGGTAAAATACCGAGTATTGGCTACTTTCATGTTTTTGGTTGCAGGTGCTTCATACACAACAATGGAAAGAATCATCTAAGGGCCTTTGACGAAAGAGCTAATGAAGAATTGTTCATGGGATATTCCTCCGTAAGCAAAGCATTTAGAGTTCTAAATAAACGAACGATGGTAATAGAGGAATCCAACCATGTTAAATTTGATGAACAATCTGAGAAGAATCCATCCGGCATCAAAACGTCAAACAATTCGAGTCAAAACCCTCAGCAACGTGTTGATGAAGAAATTTCAGACGAAGAAGATATACTATCCTCCTACACGAAATATCATCTGAAGGTTTCTGAGCCCGAAAACACAATACAGGAAATGAGCAACGTACAACAAATCAACCCTAACGTTCAAACACCATCCGAACCTATGATTTACGTACAGCTCCCTGATATTTCTGAAATAGATGCGCAGGCTCAGCAAAATACTCTTGAATCCGATCTTAGATGGTTAAAAGATCATCCTCCAAATCAAGTGATAGGAAATGTTCAAGAAGGTGTACGAACAAGAGCATCTCTACACGAAAGCATGATGGCATGTTTCTTATCACAAATGGAACCTAAGACCATAGAAGAAGCCTTAAGTGATCCTGACTGGGTAATCGCCATGCAAGAAGAACTTCATCAGTTTGAACGAAATGATGTATGGGAACTTGTGTCGAGACCAACTCATCAAAATGTCATTGGAACTAAATGGGTCTTTAGAAACAAAATGAGTGAAGATGGGATCATTGTTAGGAACAAAGCTCGTCTTGTAGCCAAGGGATACTGCCAAGAAGAAGGAATCGATTTTGATGAAACCTTTGCCCCTGTGGCGAGACTTGAAGCCATACGAATATTTATGGCCTTTGCAGCTTACAAGAACTTCAGAGTCTATCAAATGGACGTAAAAAGTTCTTTCTTAAATGGGCTCCTTGTAGAAGAAGTGTATGTTGAGCAACCGCCTGGTTTCGTAGTTAACAATGAACATGAAAAAGTCTATCATCTCAAAAAGGCCCTATATGGCTTAAAACAAGCTCCAAGAGCCTGGTATGATACACTCTCACACTTCCTTATCAACTGTGGATTTATGAAAGGAGCTGTAGACAAAACACTCTTTCGTATCAAAGACAATGATCACATTCTTCTAGTACAAATCTATGTTGATGACATCATTTTCGGGAGCATGAATCCTGTACTTTGTGAAAAGTTCTCAATTCTCATGCAAGGCAAGTTTGAAATGAGCATGATGGGAGAACTTAACTACTTTCTGGGATTGCAAGTAAAGCAATGCTCAGATGGAATATTTATCAGTCAAGCTAAATACACCAAAGACCTAATCCGAAAGTTTGGCATTGATGGAAAAAGTTCGGTTAAAATTCCTATGAGCACATCCCTTAGAATGGACATTGATAATGAAGGAAAAGATGTTGACCAGAAAAACTTTCGTGGCATTATCAGCTCTCTTCTATACCTAACAGCAAGCAGACCTGATATTTCGTTTGCTGTTGGTGTATGTGCACGATTTCAATCTAAGCCGAAAGAAAGCCATTTAAGTGCAACTAAAAAGATATTAAGATATCTTAAAGGAACACAAAGTGTTGGGCTTTGGTACCCGAAAGAAGGATCATTTGATCTAATTGGGTATTCAGATGCAGACTTTGCCGGATGTCGAATTGATCGAAAAAGTACCTCAGGAACCTGCCAGTTCCTAGGGGGAAGACTTGTATCATGGTTTAGCAAGAAACAACACTCTATTGCTACAAGTACGGCTGAAGCCGAATATATAGCAGCTGGAAGCTGTTGTGCTCAAATTTTATGGATGACACACCAGTTAAAGGATTATGGCATAAATGCACGAGAAGTGAGCATCAAATGCGATAACACGAGTGCAATTGCTATTACACATAATCCTGTCTTACACTCACGAACTAAGCATATTGATATCAAATATCATTTTATTCGTGATCATGTCGAGAGGAAAGACATATCTCTTGAGTATGTTAACACTGATGATCAACTTGCGGGCATACTCACGAAACCTCTAAGTGAAGCAAGATTCTCCTCTCTAAGGCATGAAATAGGAATGATTGAAATGACATAAAGCCTTGAGAATCAAATCTGCAAAGATTCTCATTCTCGATATTCAAAAGATTCGATCCAACCTCACACGCAAAGATCTCTATAAAATGAGGTACACGACGTAATTAAGCCTTCATAACTAACAAAAATTCTAGTGTTTGTCTTTGTGTGTGCATATATGAGTACAGGAAGTGAGAGAACAATCACCGAGACACAAGAGGAGAAAAGCGAAATCTTCAATGATCCACTTGTGACCGAGCAAGAGTTGAATAAATTTCTTGAACAGTCTCAATACATACAGAGTGTTCTCCGTGACCCAACGGAAAATGAATCAAGGGAGTCATTCCACTCTGTCGGCAACCCTATAGGGTATGTCAAGGAAGACAGCGTGCTGGAACGAAGTGATAGTTTTGACTACTCACCCTCGAGCACCCCTCCTAAGATGTCATCTCCTCTCAAATCCACCGCAAGCAGCAAGAAAAAGAAGGCCTAAATGACAGTGTTAGGCCACAGTGATAAGTTGTGGTGTTGTTATCTTCAAAATGATGCGCTTCTCTAATAAACAAATTTATCTTTCCATATATTTTTGATAACGTGACTAACACGAAACGTGAATCAGTATCTAAAATATTTTAACAAGTTCTACACGCTAACATTATGCCTATAAATTGACTTCTCTCCTCATAAGTTTCACTCACACTCAGCCCCTAGAAAAGGAAAAGCTCGTAGGTATGGATAAGGGTAAAGAGAAGATGGATGAAGCCGAGGTTCGAGCTATCCATCATCTTCGAGAAGCAGGCAAATTGACAAGTGCTACAATAACAAAGATAATAGAAGATGGTGATATGGTCCACGTAACGTTCACTATGCCAAACTCAGCCACTCCGAAAGATGAGGCCGAGAGAAGGGTCGTTCGTCTAAACCATCATCTCCAGAAAGCAAGTTTGCCCAATGCTACCATTATCAAGCTGGAGGAAGACGGTGAAAGGGTCAATGTGACATACTCCATGCCCAACACAGCAAATCTTAAGGAAAAAGAGACACTGGACAATGTTGTCAACGAATCTCGGGCAAAGAAGGCATATTACTTGGAGCAAGCCAAACGGCTTGCCAACGAAAGGATAATGAGGTTGAAGAGTGCTAACAAGCACTCAACAAATCCACCTAACTTTCGTTGGTACCATATTCCTGAAGTTCCACAAAGTGATGAAACCTGCGAAGACTTCACTTTGACTCACTCTCAGTCACCCACCAACCCAAACACGCCTACCCTCACACTTGAGGAACTGGACGAATATTCAAACAGGGCTAATCTGCCCGATGTGACTGATGAGTTTTCCCGTCTGGAACTTCACGTGCCTTATCGCTTTATCTGAATATTGCTTGTCTTATTTGTATGGTTTGAAGTACCTCTGCACGAATCTCTTTAATGAAGTTTCCTGTTTATTTGTGCCATTACTAATTACTCTCTTGACCTTGATACTTTTATGTCAGATTATCTCTCTCGGGTCAAAGATGGAATTATGTTTTAAAGTATTATACATGAGTTTAATGCTAATTGACACTTCAGAAATCATAGACTCCCCCTATTGATCAACATTTGGATAAAGGATTATCTCTCATCTCAAATTGCTATAAAAGAATGGCAGTGGCCTTACTAAAATGCATCCCTCTCATCACCAATGGATCCTAAGGTTTCAATCACCAAAAAGGTGTCAAGAAAAATCCAAGCTCATCCAGAAGAGGGTGAACGAGGCATTCACATCCCTGGAAACAACCCTATCAATCCTCTGAACATTTCATCTGACTCTGAAATTGAGGATTTTGATGAATTCATCGAGAGAGATGCTGATGGAGATGCAAGATCTTTTGATCCTAATGAGGAACCCCCTCTAATCGTTAAAAAGGGGTTCTTGACATTGGAAGCTTGGAACGATATCACTATGGATAGAGATCTCAGGGATTTCTATCGACATTATGATTGCAAATCTGCATTTGTGGGGTATGTTGAATGAGAATCTGATGACGAAATACATCCTGACGGTGGACCATTGCGCCCAAATGCTCCCACATCAAAGAGAGCCACTAAGGTCACCAAGGGCGAAACCAGTAACACGAAGAAAGGAAAGGGAAAGAAATGAAAATTCCTTTGTCGTGTGTTCAAAAATTGTCCTTAAGCTATGTATTTCTGTTCATCCATGTTTCGTGATTTGTCCTTGAATTAATGAAGGTTTTTCGTCATGAATCTCTGACTACCTGACATTAACACATCTTGAAATCATATCTCTGACCCTAAAATTATGACATTCTTGAAAATGTTCATTCAAAGTCTTCTACATCATTAATGGTCAGTTGAAGAAATACATGATCATTAATTGCAGCATTGAATGCTGAGAACAGTTTCACAACGTTATCTCTTCTAAATCTGCCTATAAAAGGGGATTATATCTCGCTTTTCTCTACCATTCTCATCTTCACAAATGGCTCCTAAAAAGCCCTTTACAAGGGGAGATTCCCGTAAGCTCCGTGAACTCGCCAGGCAAATAAGAGAAGAGCAGGGAGACATGTATCCAGGCAATAGCCTTCAAGCACCGTTGGAAATCTCATCTGATACTGAAGAATCATCTCTGTATGATGATATGGCTGGGTTCATTGTTGAAGAACCCGAAGAAAACCCTCAGAGGGAAGCTGTCTCATCACTCCCGAAATCCCCTGATGATCTCAGTAAGTACTATGATCAAGACTACATGGACTATCTGAAAGAAGAAGAACTCAAGCATGTACCGAAAGCGGATGAGTCCAAAACTAAAGAAGTACCGGAGTCATCCACGGAATCCAACTTTCTGCGTACCGGAAAATGGTACAAGCGCATGTGGGCTAATCTGAACAAGCCGAAAGTTGGACCATCTGAGGGCAAGGGAAACGAGAGCAAGAAAAACTAATCCTTTGGATTATGTGTCTTATTATCTGTATCAGTTTCTCTCGTCTTTAATGAATAATGATCTCTTGGTGTTTATTATGTTAAATCTGTTAAAGTAATGGACGAAACTTTATTTGTTTTGTTCATTCCTATCTATGTTCATCTCGATCTATTTACTCCTTTTTTGGAAATGAAAATATTCCCTCAAGCGTGCTCAACATGTCTATGACTAGTCATTCGGATCACTTCTTTTGATGCGTATTCTAGTCTATATAAAGGATCCTCTCGGCAAACTATGGACTCACTCTTCTCTGCCAGTAATATCATGGACAAAGGGAAAGAAATAGCTCTTATAACTAGAAGTCTATCTGAGTTCGAAAATGACTCTTGTCATAAACCCAAGAGCTCACTGGTAAAGGGAACATCATTTGACGAATCTACCAAAACATCAAGTGGTTCTGAATTATTCTCCCTTGTGCAACTTGCGCCGCAACTGAAGCATGAAGAACAATATCGATCTCTTTATGCCAGAGCCAAAGCCAAAGTTTTGGCTGAACTTGATGACATGGAGAGACGAGGTCTCTCGAGAGATGCTATGGGAACAGATCACGACACAATCATAGCTGAAGTCTTTGCACATAAGGTGCAAAAGAAGGAGTACTTTATCAATGCTCGAAAGAAGAAGGAGGTCAAGAAGTGAAATCTCGTGTTCTTCTATTTTACGAGAGCTGCAGTCACCACTTTTATAATTACTATTTCGTGTAATAATTCATCTCTCGGACTATGAAAATTCGTGTATGCTCTGTACTAGATATGTTTGACTTTATTTGTCATACAAATCTTCTATTATGAGAAGCTTACCTTCTTTCGGTCTTCAATCGTGTTTTAGACGCTTCCTAATCTCTCATCTGAACCGTTTAGATGATTCATCATGGGGATCGTGTGGCCGAGAAATATGGTCCACTACCCCACCATGACTGACACAAGAATTGACGTGCATTAAACGCACCCACAGATACTCGAGTATTTTTCTCTCTCCGCATTAAATATGGAATGATCAAATTTGATCTGCACACGATCTTATCACTCCCCCATACTCTGATCAGTTACCATATGAAGAAGAGGAGCCGGTTAAACTTTTGAAATTCCACTAACCCATCTCCATATGGGTTACCCATATTTAGTTACCCGGGACCAAATGAAACCCTACTTAAACCCTTTTCTCATCATACCTCACATTTTTCATTCCCTCCCAGACACAGCTACCAAACTTATTCTCTCTCAAACACCCTACAATGGCGGAAATTTCACAAGCTACATCTTCTAAAAAAGAACCAGAAACCCCTTCTACCCTGGAAATCCCAAGCTTTCCAACCGAAGACATGCGATTTATTGAATCCAGAGTTCCATTTATTGTTGGAGGCAGCATGTGGGATGCTCATGGGTTTCTCGAATACGTATTGGATCGAAGATTTGGCGAAGACATCATTCGATTGCTCATGGAATCTGGATTGTACAGGTTAACTACACATCTCTACACCATATGGTATCCCATCGATGTAACACAGTTCTACATGAATGCATCCATATCTTCCGACTCTCTGTCCATCACCTCCAGAGTCCACAATCATGAAGTGATCCTCACCTCGGAAGAAATTCGAGCCATGTACGGGTTTCCACAAAGAGATGAATCTTACAAGACCAACCTTACTTATTACCACTACGATCCAGAAGAGTTCTATGATTCTATCAAGAACAACCAAGCTCCTTCGAAGACAGAAATCACATGGCCATTAAAGAAGAAGTGGTTTCGGCTGAATTATGAATTTACAGTTGACATCTTCAACAAGGTTGTTGATCATAAGACTTCAGGCACAGATGATGTGACAAAGGAGAAACTAAAGATGCTGCATGCCTTTCTTCATGAACTCATGGTTGACTGGTCGAAGATCATTTTCAATAATCTTGTTCACACCATCACCTACCACAGGAAGAGTCCAGGTGACATCGCCAAGAAACTAGGGTATGGATTTATTGTTAGCCACCTTCTTGTCACTAAAGGAGTTTTAATGCGACCAGGTATTCGGCCAGGACCGAAAGCTTGTCATATGAAGCAGAAACCATCTGGTTATGACAAGCAGAAAGCATTGGAGCTGGGGATTCCCATTGAGTTGGTTAAAGGCAAACGGAAGTCAAGAACGTCAAAGGCATCCGAAGATGACCAACCCAAGCCAAAACGACAAAAGAAAGAAAAACGTCCCTCTCGGAATAAAATGAAGAGAAATGATGATGATCAACCATTGCCAACACCTCCAAAATCTCCTCAAGAGAAGAAAAGTCCAACCTCATCTACTCCACCACCGGAAACAATAGTTGTGAAAGATTCTTCCGAAGAAGACAATCTGATTCTATCAAGACTCGACAAAAAGGGTCGTTTTCGTTCTCCTGTCAAATCAAAGCATGTAAATCCTCCTTCCCCGAAGAAAGATACTACACCGAAAGCAGTAGACACGAGAGAAGCATTCCTTCAGGGGGAAGATAGAACGAAAGAAGCACCTTTTCAGGGGGAAGAT